TTATCATTATGTTTTTGCTTCTTTTCATGGATTGGGCAATAGCGTTTTTGTCACAATTGCAGGATTTCTACTTGTTGCTTGATAAAAATAAACAAGAAATATTTGAATATTTACGGCTTGACTTAATGTACAGGATTTTCTGTCATTGAATTTCTTATTGAATTTCAAAATAACTGAAGTTTGAATAAGTTTTAGAAATGAAAATAAATAATATTTTATAGAAATCACTGAGTAACTTTTTGTGGTGTTCTGAAGTGGAAGTGTATAAAATAAGTTCGTAAAGTTCTAGCACAATTTGATTTTGTTGTATTGATAGATATAGAGCAAATAGCAAATAATCGTCAAAACACCTGTGCTTGCAATGGTAGTAGAGAGCCTGCAGGTATGTTCCCGTAAGTTGCCGGAGCTCTTACACGTGTCAATTAGTTTCCAGTCCGTGAAAATAAACCGGGCGCGTGCGTGTCAACCGGAAACTGGTGAAATTTGAGTGTAATAGGTTAATATGATGAATGGGAATTGAAACAATTGTAAATAGCGGTAAACATGGCGTTTGTCAAATAAAAAGATTCCTACTTAAAAATAATTTAAAAAGAAAAGCATGGCGATCTTCAAAGATCTTGCAGCTCAAGCGGTTTTTTTAAAACTTTATTAAACTTTGAGAAATGAAGGAGTTCAGATATCTTCAGAGATTATATTGACGTCAATCCTGTGTTAATTGGGGGGGGGCATATTCATATATTCTGCTATGTCTGGCTAATTTTTTGTCAAAACAATTCACTTTCAAAAGAAGCAGCCTGACATAAAAGAATATATGAATATGGTCCCCAGTTATCACAGGATTGACACCAATGAGAGATTATAACAGAAAATGTTTTGATGAAGACCTATGTTTGTGTCAAAGCTGAAGAAGTGTAAAAATGTAAGATGGCATACGGACAATTTTTGCCATCATTTTATTGGTGTAAACAGGAAAACATTGATAATAGACTACATGCAAGACCACGAACAAATGCACCTGTATACAGCTGAAACATTCAAATATTAACTTGAATTTTATTTAGCTTTTTGTTGCAATGATAAGTATACGTAAACGTGTAAGTTTTGAAAACTATGGGATTACTGTAAATCATATCATCAAATTTTATTACTTTAACGATCAAAGGGTCTCTAGACTGTATTAGCTACAGAGTAAAACTGGAAGTCCTTGGTAATATGTTAAGATGTAAATATAAACTTCATCCAATAAAGCACCAGAAATCGCTCCGTTTATATTTATTAGTTAAACGAGTATATCACAGTGATCTCATTAATTTGATTGTGCTGGAATTTCTCATTGAAAAGATTCACTAGTTACGAAGATCTGAAAACGATGGAAGTCATCCTGAACCTTTGGCAGATTATGAAAACTGTTTGGAAATGTTGACAAAGGAAGATCGATATGACAAAGAATGATCGTGCTTAGGGTTTTATCAATCGAGAACATGTGCGGCCTGGTAAATCAGAAGACTTTAAATTTCTAAAGTACCTTGGACCAGCTCATCTCAGAAGATGTACGTTGAAAATCTGTTAAACGAAACTTGGGTAAAGCTGATGTTAATTTATACAGAGGTAAAAATACCTCCTTTTTTTCATTATCTTTTTGCTTTTGTTGACAGTAGCTGTGAACTAAAGTATATATCAACTGTGTAATTGCTTCGACTGATATAAACTTTTCTTGATATTCCACGTTGCTCTCAGATGTGCGTGTACTGTTACTTGATGAGCTCGTTATTAAAAAAAATCGGAGAATTGTGTTTGCAAACGAGGAACACGATCATTACCACCTATCACACAGATGAGCTCGAGCTTAAAACCACTTATCACTGCTCATAAGCACTGCTCAAATGCTCATGTCACATGACTCACACGAACACTTTCATTTACATACAGATATACATAATGGCAATAGCATGAGTTAAGATTGCACCTTCATTGGTTTTACGATCAGATGAGTACTTGCTCAAAACCACTTATAATTGCTCATAAACACTTGCTCAAATGCTCAAATGCTCAAATGCACATCGATACCTGAAAACATCACATTTTTTAAAAGATATTACTCAGAGAATGAGCATCAAATATTGTGGAAAAATATTTAATCGAGGCTTTAATTACGTCATCACGAGAAAGAGTACTGCCCACACAGGGATCAGGGAGAAATGCCTTATTCAGACTCATACAGTTAGGATATACAGAGTGAAGACAATGCTTCGACAAGTTCCACCGATGAATCTAAATTTTTGATGTCAACAGAAAGGGATGCTTAGACTGAAGTGTAAACTAATCCTTGGATACCATACCAGGGTTTATAGAAAACGACGACTTTGATCCACAGGAAGCTATGGAAGCAGCTGTTAAGAAGGGAAAGTTCTTTATGAACAGACTTTTAAAAGAATACATCTTTACTGAAACTGTCAATGATGAAGATGATTAAATGTGATCATCGAATTTTTGTTATATAAACCATTGGATTATGTTAACATTTCAATGTTGAATAAATTAAAATCAACTATTGTTTATAGTGTGAAAAATCTTCATGTGGAACAAGAACCTTTATCATGGTCTCTGTTTCTATCTTTTATCATGAAACATAATAATCATCAACCATATATACAGCACGTGCGCAAAATTTTGGAGTTGGGTATTCGAAATTGTGTTTACAAATGAAATTAATTCATCCATTGAGGAAACAATTGTATTTTCACAAAAAAGCATTAAAATATCTCAAGACTAAAGCAGTTCAAACTTCAAACTCCCGTGAGCGATATATTTATGAGACCAAATTCCCATCATCACGCAGAAAATAGGTCAACGAAAGTCGCATCAATATTTATTGAGCTGAAAGATTTTTGTTCAGTGATTGGTAATTAATTTTTACAACATAGCTAAATGCATATAGCGCTGACATTTTTTAGCTGTCACTAAACACGACTATCGAAAGTTGTTGATATAATTCTGTTTTTATGGAAAATAATACTGTTGATCAAAAAGTGTTAGCTTTCTCTTTTTTCAAAGTATTCGACAGTTGATAAATTTTGCAACTGAATAAATTCCTGTAAGGTTTTAGGCAGGATTGGACAAGTTCTTTTTCGCACAGTAGACATGAACGTGAAGTTGATTGCTCTGTTCTTTTTCAACTACTCATTAAGCTAAACCGATTAAAATTTTATGACTTAGGATATTTTTAGACGGCGATCTATATAATAGTTTGCTATTTTGCATAAGGATTAATCATGCCCCAACTGAAAGGATGGGGGGGGGGATTACCGATGATTTTTTTAACGGCATGTTCATCTTTCAAATGTTATTGAACTATAGTTCCGAGTTTCACGAAGATTTGAGGTATTAGCTATGTATTTTTTAATTTACTTGCTCTCTTACAGTCTTACATCGCGGTAGCTTTTTTTTTTATTTTCAGAGTCTTTATTACAAGTTTCATTAGCTGTTTAGTAAACTAAAAATTGACTGATTAGTAAACTAAAAATGACTGATTAGTAAACTAAAAATTATTAAATCTTGTTCAAAAAATTCATTGTTTCTTATTTCAGTAGGTCTTTTTGCTTTGTCAAAAATATCTTTCTCCAGTCCTTGCAGGTATACTTGATCAATTCTTTCATTGTTCGGCATCATCAAACCTTCATGGCGTTTTTGCGAAGGTTGAGTAACACTGCAGCCGTAACAGTCTTTTGCAACAACACTTGATATTATGTACCCTATTTCTTCGACATATCACTTTAACAATCTGTCTTGTATAATTTTATGACTTTCCCCTAAAGTCTTGTACTCTTCATCGATATCAAATGCTTCTTTATATTTCTTTGCTAGTTCAATGCAACCGTTAAAGCCATTTTTATTGTCAGAAGAAAACTAGTCACTTTATATAATTGTAAACTCTTTTCTATATCGGCAAATAGTGGCGGATTTTGAGTATGTGTATCCATGTTGTTCGCAGTGGTTGTTTGTCATGGTCATTTTACCCGCAAACAGTTAAGATTTATTCTAGTAATCGAAATGCATACAAACTCTAATACAGGTCCTTGACTACCTGTAATGTTGGGTATTATTTGCGAACTTTGTAAGACGTTGTTGTTGGCACTTGTGACGTAGATAGTTAAACACGTCTGCTTCCGGAAAAATAATATTATATATAAATATTAGATGAATTGAATCTTTTGATTATCGTTTGTCTTGTTTTTTGAATGAATACACACAATTGTTTATAAAATAAAACGAATATACTGAGAAAAATTATTGCTAAAGTATGGTGTCCAATCAATTGTCAGCTTGACATGATAACTCAGTTATTCTGAATCCGTTTCCTCAAGTCGAGCTATAAATCATGTAGCTATGTCGTTATGTCGAAATTTTATGAATTTGTGCACGATTAGGAATTACAGCTTTCATCTTTTTTATCCTATTTATTCTCTTAATTTCTAGAAATATTATGTTTTACAAAGCACATCCTTTCGTGACAAAAGTAATTTTTTTTCTATATTACACGTACTTGTTTAAACATATCGTTTGTGGGTACATCCCATTCTGTTTTATTAACAAGTTAAAACTAAATTACAAAAGGTATTATACAAATACAAGCTTTGCAAAGGATATGCAAACATTATTATAATTAAAATATGTGAATTGACAGTAGATATTAAACGTAATAACTATAAGCACGTAATCCATGGCAAATTTTGATTATTTTCCCGTCAGGAAAATCGTTAATTTTGTCTTGGATCATCTGCTTGAATCATGTGGATATATTGTGAAAAATATTGATGAAATTAAATGTCTTGGGTCATAGTTCCACGTTTAATGATGTACACAATATACGATAGGCTATGATCAAGATAATGTTTAGAGACAGAATTATTATTCTCTTAGGCGTATATTCATAAGAAACAACATTAATATCGGAATTTCGTTAAGTTTTCCTTCTAAGTGGCTTCTATTTTCCCTTTTAGCTCCTGTCAATCCATATGGATGGTTCAAAATTCATAGCGAAGGATATAAGAAATGTCTAACTGCAGTCTATACCTCGACAAGAAGATACAGTTATTATTTGAAATATTTAAAAGGAAAGCTTGTAAAAAGCCGTAAAGTGGCTTCTCAAAAGGCCCGATTAGTTTTGAAACACTGTTCGGCAGCTTTTGATCAAGATTGGCGATGGCTTTCAACTGGTCATTTACAATCATCCTTAAACAACTATTGTCTGACTGTTAGAAGATCTTCACAATCGAAACTATTCCAGTACAAGGCATCTATTCAACCATGTATTTTACAAAGTGGTTACAAGCAGTGGACTTGTTCTGGTGGTTATTTAAAGCTAAAATATAAAAACTTGTATCTCATTCCATACCTGTTTAAAAATGCACCAAGTGGTGGAGTAGTAGCTAGAAGAAGTATAACAACCAGCTGTAAGTGGACACGCTACGGAACATCAAATACAATATGCGAAGATGGTAAGATCTTTTACGTTAAGTCAAAAATATTCCCAGAAACAAATATGCCATAATTTCAGTTTGGCAAGTGCTGTAGTATCATTGCTATATATTTCATTACCCACTGCAATCTTCATTAAGCAAGAAAAAATGATAAAGCCATTGTTTGTATGTTGTTGAAAAATATCCAAAACACATTTGGGAGAGAGTGGCACACATCAGAGAGACAAGCGTGGGGCCCTTCTCTCCACCCAGGCAGGCTGAAATTCAGATTGTGCTGAAATCAGAAAGATTAAAAAATAACATACCATGATGTGCAAAAATATCCGTATATTAAAACAAGAACGTTTGTACATGTATTTAAAATTTTAAACTCTCATCCAAATCAGCTTATATCAATAATATTAATTGACAATTATATTGAGAACTGATTATAAAGTAAAAATTAAACTTAATCAACCAGCTAAACCTTCTTAGGATTCAGTATACATGTGTGTGAAATGTACGTTTAAGTAATGTATCATATCTTTTACTAGAATCTCATTTTGCTTAGTAAAGTTGTGTTTGCGGGATTTCTTTAGAGCAAACTTGTTTACCATGGATGACATGTTAATGCTGCAAAGCAGATCGTTTTCGATGCTAAGTAGAACAAGGCTGTTTAATCGCTTTTGTGTCATACGAACTGATTCTTACGGTGGCCCACAAGGGCAACGTCAATTTCAAATTATTACACTACAATTAAATTCATCACACCAAATTCAAATACATCGCGCCAAATTCAAAATTTCAATTCGTGCTAGGCCCATATGGGATATTTACTAGTACTTTATGTTGCTTATTATTTTTTTGTTAATTTAAACCTCTCGTTAATTTCAAAATGGGAAATTGGCATTTTTGCGATGCTCAAGTCGCACTTCTGGATAAATTTTGTAATCAGAGCGGAATTAAATTGTGTTGTGAGGTTGTAGCAATCAAGTACTAGTGTAAACAAGGCTATAAATACGACACGATAACAGAATTTTTGGCGAAATTTCATGACGTCCATATTTGTATTCGAACTTTGAAAAGCCGCTTGAAAACATTAGGACTCTCTTGAAAATTGAGGAAATACAAGGAGTTGGAAGTAAGAAGAAGAATTATGCGCGAACTTAGATTCACCAGATTGTATGAGCGGATATCGGGGAATGTGGCATATTCTTAGCAGGAAAGGATTTATGATACCGAAGCAAAAAGTTCAAGAGTTGTTAAAGGAATTAGATCCTGAGGGCTGTGAAACAAGACGAGCTCATCGTTTAAGGCAGAGAATTTATGTAAATCCGTGTCCAAATTTTTGTTGGCACTTGAATGGATATGATAAACTGAAACCGTTTGGGTTTTTTTATCAAGTCTCATTCAACAAGACTTGAACCATGTAAAAGATCATTGGAATACACATTATATAAGAAGATCAAGGTTTGACACCATACCAGGAAGGCCAACCTGTAAGTCAACAACAGTGTGACCAGGTTCTATGACCAATTACCTTGATGAAAACAAAAAGGGAATAAGAAGAGTACTTTGTACATGTCATGGATCAAGCAGGCTTAGAGCTGCCTTTAGACTGGAGACATGCCTTGCATCTTTACAATGAATTAATTTACATAGCAAAAGACCATTGATTTTATACCTATTTGAGTGGATTGCCTTTTTAAGGTCAATTGATGACAGAATATTGCAAAACGACTGTTATTACAAAAAAGCTGAAATTGAGCATTTCATTTTACAAAATATGTTTTTTTAATTGTTAAGTTAACATGGTTATTTAACATCAGTAAACCTAAAGCTTGTGGAATCTTTCTGATAATAACATTGTATATAATTTTCTGTTTACTATGTCCGAATAACTGTGGTGACATCTTATAAAATTTACGATATTTTAAAGTAAAAGCCAAAAGATTTGCTGTGAATTAAAAGCAACATAAACTAATGTGTTATGTAAACTAAACCATACTCTTAAAGTCTGTGTCAATTATACAGTTTCAAATGCTTCTCTTGTTTACAACTTAGTTTTGGAAAATTAAGGAGTTGCAAAAATACCAATCTTACATATTCCTAGCAAAAGAGATGCTGAAAATCACCAGTTTTGCTCATGTGTGCAACAGAGATTGTTATGCTACGGCCACAAGCTCCAACAATAGGAAAGCAGGTAGTATGATTAGGATTCCTTAATAGGCAATTATGATCAAATCTGACAGTTATTTTTACAACATCACCATTTAATGACCTATGATTTCGGCCTGTAAGCCAACCTAAGATCCTGAAGGTGTCAGATTTGCCATTATGGAATGAGTGCTTTCATCCAATTTTTAATCATCAGCAGCATACATTAGCGGGGTTGGTATCATTCCATGAAATTTACTCTTTGTATCCAGATAGGTGATTATCTTCCAGTGCCATGAAGAAATCTTGAACGTTATCCATGATGGTTTCTTCAAGCATTCTTCTTGAAGTACCATCATCAGAATAATCAGGGCACAGCAGAGAAAAAATATAATTTGCATCTACATCGTGAGTTTCTTTCCCCTTCACCAAAACATTTTTGGCTACTTCTTCATTTTCTTTAACTGCTTGCAGTATACTGCAAACATTTAGCCCTTCAGCAAACTCCTAAAGAAAAAGAATTCGTTTGCCAATTGTGCTCACCATAACAGTTCCTATTATATCATGAGTGTGAAAGCCATCTATAATGCCGGTGTACCCACTCTCAATAATGAAATCTCTGTGAGTATGAACATCTTTCTTTATACTTTCCAAGAGCTCACGATCAGCTTCAGTAAAGTGCTCTTCTAATACTAAGTTATTCATATCAATATTAGGGTTAAGCATCAAGTTGTAAGTACTTTCATCCAAAATGCATAGTGGAGGACCTCTTTGAGAAATGGAAGTAGGAGCCATTTCACCACAAGCTCTAAAGTTTCCATTCTAATTATTGTACACGGAGTCAATTGGTGCTCCATTGGGAAACATTGTCGAACTCATTTGCGAGATTGTTTCAGATAAAAATTCTTTAGACATGGCACCCGAGTTGATGTATTTAACTCGAAGTACTTTTGGGGGGTCAGATCTTTTGCATTCTCGCTGCCATGAAGATCAAGATCGAAGAATAGAGGCACTGCGTCGCACAACAAGGAAAAACTGTCTATTGTAGTCCACTTTTTTCTCAATGCCTTTCATAAATGTGGAAAGATCGACGTTGTCAACTTTATATGAATTGGGAATGTCTCTTGGTTCTTCACTTTCAGTGACAACAGTTGTGGGCACTGGTAAATCATCATCAAGTTCAAGGTGTAACGTTTTGGCTAGGCTCTCATCTCTCACAACTTGAGAATTAACTTGTGAGAAATCTTCAAAGAAGTGAAGATTTTCATTAAAAAGTTCTGCATCTTTACCATCAGATGCCTCACTTGAAATCTCTTCCTGGAGGTGGAGGCTTTTTCTCTACAAACTTCTTCTTCCTGTAAAATAGAATCAATTTTGGTGCATAAATACGAAGTGATCTTGTTATAATCTCTTCTTAGTTCTTCTTTGTATTGTTTTAAAGTAAAAAACTGCTTTTTTGATCCAGGAAGGAAAAGAGCTTCTTTTCCATCTTGAAAAAGGAGCATGTATTCTTCATAATCATCGTAGAGATTACTATGAAAAGCTTTCCACTTTGTTTTTGCATTTTTCAAAATTTCTTTGTAAGGTGCTTCATGTGACACTTCCAGTGCCATTCGCTTTCCACGTTTTGGATTTAAGCTTTTTTCTTTTTCATTGAATTCAAACAGACCAATAAACACTTTAACAGTCTTGTCAGAGCTTTCCCCTTTCGTCCCTTCCCTTTTGAAACAGTAGATTTCCATTGAGACCCTTTAGTTCTTTGGTACTCATTAAATGTTTTATTGATTTCTTTCTGTGAGTGGATGCAGTTTTTAGATCTTCATCTACAAATTCTTCATATTATAATTCATCAAAATGTAAAAAAGATATTGACTAGTTCAGCTATATTAAAATCACCTACTGATGTTGGCTATATTCCTAAGAGCTCGTATTGTAATGTCATGACCAATCTAACAAATTTACCACTCAAAATTCAAGTCTCATAAATTGTATAAATGCAAGATGCTTTTAGCTACAAAAAGATTGGCAATTTTAAAGGTCACAATTTGTAGTATGTATTTGTGTTATCTTCAATAATTTTTTTCCTGAATTAAACCAGTACGTTAATGCTATAAAGGCAAACAAAGGTGTTATTAAATTACAGCACATGTCGTCGGGCTTCATATAAATGACAAAATGAGCAATATCAAGCATCAAAAAGATTTGTGTTTTTCTTTATAAATTATAAAAATGAGCTTTTGTATTCATTTAGTGAGTTTAAACTTTAAAATCAACAATTATATCAGTTCACCTTATTTTATCTGTTCAGATTTGATGATTTGACCAAATTCATCTACTTTGGATTGAGCTGGAGAACACTGAATAATAGGAAAAAAAATTTAAAATAATCTCACATTCACTTACTCATGCTGTAATATTCAGAAAATTAGTCTCATCAGTAAAATGGAAGAAGTTCAAATATGTCATTATCAAAGCCACATATTTCTTGCTAGTAATGAAGTAATAAATTCCATACACAGAATGTCATTCGCATGCAGTTAAAGGCATAAAAGCATTACAACAATTGCACTGATATTTATAGTACTCAGCACCCAATATTTTCTCGTCAATTTAAGTCTCGTCAATATTCGTATCTAAACCTGTGAAAGACTATGTTTATCAATAGTTCCTGTACAAGCTTACCTTTTCCACAGTTGGGGCTAAACTTGCAATCAACATGAGCATTTAAGCAATGACCACCATGATTGCAAAACATGATGGTCGCCAAATGAAATACGCACCTCTTCTTTATGATTTGTGTAGTTTCGCCACGTTTTTCTCATCAAAATTGCATCATTACATGACGTAATGAGTGTTCTTGAACAAAGCCGCTGAGGGCATGC